GGGGAGACCTTCTTGCAGCCTTAAAGTACTTAAAGGGGGCTTATAAAAAAAAGTTTGCTGCCATCTTTAGCAGGGCCTGTTGCGACAGGACAAGGGGGAATGGCTTTAAACTCAAGGGGGGTAGATTTAGACTAGATATAAGGAAGAAGTTTTTTATGCTGAGGGTGGTGAAGCACTGGCACAGGTTGCCCAGAGAGGTGGTGGATGCCCCATCCCTAGAAACATTCAAGGTCAGGTTGGACGGGGCTCTGAGCAACCTGATCTAGTTGAAGATGTCCCTGCCCACAGCAGAGGGCTTGGACTAGATGACCTTTGGAGGTCCTTTCCAACGCAAACTATTCTATGATTCTATGATTCTAATTTTTGTGTTGGCTATAGCATGCTTGGGAGCAAAACAACTTCATTTTTGGTCTTACAATTTTTGAGATTGAGTTTAAAACAAAATTATAATGTTTGATTTTTATTTTATATTAATTTGAATTTGCTAGTATGTAACTACCTTGTTTGAGGTCACGAAAACGTGACTGGAACTAAACAGAGAAAATACAGTTGTTTGCAAAGGCTGATCTGTCTCCCATGTCTTGCTTCCATTCTCTTCTAGATACGACCAGGTCAAAGAAAAGTCACGAGAAAGAGGGAGTAGAATACAATTTTGTCTCTAAGCAATCATTTGAGACAGATGTGCAGCAAAACAAGTGAGTTAATTTTAAAATACTGGCATAATTGACTGTATTTCAAAAACATTGCTAGTTAAATCTTACATCATATGAATACCAAAATCAGGTGTAAAGTTGGACTAGCTGTTTTAGAAAGGTTCAGCTTTCCAAGTAAAAAGCTCTTTATTCAGTTTGGACTGTTAGCGTGAACTTGGAAATTTAATAAGCAATTTAGAAACAACATAGGACTAGTAGGAGGATCATAAGTTAGAATTGAAGCCTGCATATCATAAGTAGTATGATTGGTCAGAATTGAATCTAGTGAAAGTAACATATTTAGTTGGGCCTACTTATTCTCCATTTAATATGATGGGTAACAAGTGTTATTCATAAGTCCACTTTAAAGTGTGTTGTAGACTGAATACGTGGATATAAAGGACTTTCTGTAAGATTGAGTGTGTTTCCTGAAAGTACAAATTTTTGGCTAGTCTCCCAGAAGATGGAAGAATTGGAGTTCATTTCCTTGCCAGCTTTGTTCTATTTTCTGTGAAAAACATCCTCTTTCTTCTATTAGGCTTGAACATCAGTCAACTGAATTAATGCAGCTTCTTCCCCTATTTGTCAGTAGTGCTGATTAGCTATTAGTGACATGTGAAGAAGACTATTGCTACTAAGCAACCAGAAGGAAAAAAAATAATCGGAAAAAAGAAACCCTTCTGCTCCCCTGCCCTGCCCTGCCCTGATTTTCCACCCTTCCCCCCCATTTGACTACTGTGACTTCAGGAAACAGCTATCAAATGTTGTAAGTTAAATATTCTTTGTGGATGGTATTTAAAAATGTATTGACTTTTTAGATTTGTGGAACATGGAGAATACAAAGAAAATCTGTATGGTACAAGTCTTGAGGCAATCCGGTCCGTGATGGCCAAAAAGAAGGTTTGTTTGGTGGATGTGGTACCTGAAGTAAGTTCTGCAGCTTATTTTAAAGAAAGCAAGTATTTCTTCCTAGCCTGCCAGCCTAAGTAACTGTTGTTGTTCACCATTTGTGGCTACTTGCTCTGCAAAGAACAATGATACTCTCAGAACTTGTGTTTCTAACAGGTGGCCTGACCGCTAGCTAAGCGGAATAGGGCTCTTTAGAAAGCAGTGCAGTGTTTACAGTTCCTAGATGTCTAGTCGATACAGCCTAGATGACACTTTATCAGTTCTCACTGTGGGATTTTTCCCTTGCTGTAGGAGAAATGTGCATCACTTTCCTAGCCTGCTCAAGTCCTAGAGGGAATACTTAGAGCATGGATGGGTTTTTCATTCTTGTTCCTTCCTATTGCCTCTGAAGTGTTACTAGTGTTGTAACCAGTGCCAGTATATCTGCTCTTAATCCCTCCATACTGGGAGTTAATCTTTGACATTTTGATTCAGATTTTGTAACTGGGCTAGGAAAAGACTTGTAGTACTACCTCAGATGAATTCCAGGTTTAAAATTTCCAGTGTTTGGCCTCTTAAGTGAAACAAACCATAACTCACCTGTCAAGTCAATTTTCTTATACTTTTCTCAATGTCCTTGTTCCTGGTATTGCAACGTGTAGCAAGGCAGGTGTGCAGTTAGACCATGCTGCAGGAAGCTCATGTACTCTTGTAAGCTAGCCAGGACACTGACATTAACTTTTCTTTTGAAGAGCAAAAGGTTACTGTGGTCAGATGTATAGTACACAGGACTTCACACCACAGTGTGTTCTAGTGAAACTGTTGAACCCAGCTTGAGTAGATCATTGACGTATAACAAAAAAAAAAAAAAAAAAAAAAAAGTGTAACAAAAAAAATCTGTTCACAGGCAGTAAAGCACTTGAGGACTCCTGAGTTTAAGCCTTATGTTATCTTTGTGAAGCCTCTCATTCCAGAAAAGAAAAAACATGTCCTAAAATCTCCCACGTCAGAAGAAATCTCAGCCTCCTTTGTAAGTATTCTAACCTTAATCTCTTCTTTTTAGACGTGAAAAGAAGTATTTGGGCTAGTGTTTCTGTGATACGGAAGAGCTCCTCTTCCATGACAGCAAGAGTCAGAGTGGGGCACTAAATGGGTCCTGTGCACATATAGCCTTTCAGCTGGAACTTTAGATTTGGATTTTTGGCTCCCTTAAAACTTGACTATATAAGTAACGTGAAGCAAAGTGCACATCTTCCATGCGGATCTGTGTACCTCACTCAAGGCTGCACCCAGGGAAGCTGCTGCTGAACTCAGATAAACTAATAATCATTTTACATTTCTGATGAGCAGCCCCATCAAATGGGTAAGGGTAGCTGCCTATTACTGATACCTCGAGTGACACCCACCCAGGCTGTTAATCAGGTACACACAAAATGCAGCATGTGGATGTCTTACAAGGACCAAACCTAGACCAACTGCAAACTGGTGATGTGTAAATGTGAACAGAAATACTCAGAGTGCATAATGTCATTACTTTGGGTAACCTGAACTTGAATTTATACATATCAGAACTTAGTTCACTTGGTAAGTTTTCATGTAAACCCTTAAAATTATTAAACTTGGGGTCAGTGGGTCCAGCATTCCTTTTCAACTTTTGAGGAGCATGATTTCCAGGTGTTAGGTTAGGCAGCGACTCTAACTTCATAAAATGCAGCATCACCATCTTACATCCCTCCTGTAATATGTTTTTCCCCCTCCCTATCACCTCTTGCATTTTTGAAACAGCCTACCAAATTCCAGCAGTTAGCATACTACTCCTTGATCTCAGTTGTAATATCTTACATACCCTTTCCTAATCGTAGCAGCTCGTTTCATTTCCTTTCAAAGCAATGACTTATCGTGCTAATATATTTTAAAATGCTAGTAGTTAAAAAGACATGCTGTAAATTTCATACCACCTTCTTGTGTTGATCAGCAGGATGAAGAACAGCAGGAAATTATTAATTCAGCAGCATTCATTGAAGAGCAGTATGGCCATTTAATTGACACTGTACTGGTGAAAGAAGATCTCCAGAGTGCATGTAATCAGCTGAAAACTGTGTTAGAGAAACTAAACAAGGATTCATTCTGGGTGCCAGTCAACTGGGTTAGGTCATAGCTTATCATCTGTTTAAGGGAAAGATTATATAAAAATGTCTTGTAAAGATACGGATTAGAAGAGGGAAGTATGTCAAATTCACTTCAAAACTGCTGGTCTATCTAGAAGCTAATAAAGACTGTATGAGAAAAACTAAACAAAGTCAGAAGCTGACACTGCCTTCCTGGATCAAAATCTTGAACAGCAGCTGTCATTTAAAAGTGAATACTCAGACTAAACAGATCAGTAAAAGATTGGAGTGACTTTTAGACTGTAAATAGCGCATTTTGTACAGTAAAGTTTCACAGAGGGTCTCACACTTCCAAAGCATTTAAGTAGCGCTAGGACACTAACCAGCTGGAATTTTCATCCTTTGGCTACAACTTTTGTGGCTAGACTTAAGGCATCTGAACAAGGTACATTTCAGGAACCAGTCTGCCTACAGAACAAGCTACTTTAGCTAGGTGGGAGGGATGTCCTCTGGAGAGTGCTTACACCATGTCAGTTACTCAAAAGTTCAACTGGCTGACAGGCCAGCAAAACCTGTTTCCCTTCACTCAGGATCATTAGTTGCAAATCCTTCCCAATTAGGCCCTAAAACTAGGTCAGTTATATAAGTTGTATATATTTTAGTGGCTGAGGGATGAGTTGTTTTTTTCATGTCCATCCCACATTTCCCAATGCTTCCACGTTGTCTTGCACAGGTATGAATCTGCTCATCCATAGCGTATGCCCACTTTCCCAATCTCTTCCTACTGACACAGGACAAATGTGAAACCACCTGTGAACACACCTGTGTGACTAGCCAGCTCATAAACCAGAGACATTTTTTAGTCTACATGAAAATAACTGCATATGATTTAAAACAGGACTTCTAAGAAGCTTATTTTCTACAAGACATGTTTGCAAATGCCACCTGATGGGATATCACCTTGACACTTAACATAGCAGCTCCAAAAAGGGCGCTAAAAGGAGGAGGCTGAAGTACCAAGTAGCTGAGCTACAGGTCCAAATCATCATCCTTCCAGTATTTATGACTACCTTTGTTCCAAATCAGGTAAAGGCTTCCAGAGCATCTAATTGGCTACAACAAGTCCTGAAGAAGAGGACTCTATATATTTCAGGAGACTTGAATATACAGGATTTTTAGATGGATGTTAATAAGAAAATGCAGAGAGATGATTCTGGAAGCACCTATGCTTTATAATTATTTGAAAAAAATTATGAGTATTGTACAGGAGCATGTTAGCTGAAACTAGTTCTTGTTTTCCAGTGCCTGCTGAGGTCTAATCTTTCCTGTGTACTGTGCCCTTTAACAAGACCTTTTGGTGCACCAGTCTTATGCCTTGCCTCTTAACAGTATGATGTTATTCTTGTTCCACTGCATTTAGCAAAACTAACAGCATTGCATATTAAAAGCACATTTCTTATATACCAGTGTCACTGAATCTACATTAACTCTAGCCCAAAGAGCTGTATAGGACAGTTGGCCATATCCATCTTCTCCAAACCTGTGTACCCTGGCAACTTTCATGTATTATCCTGCCTATAGGTATTGAGGTTCCCATTCCTACAAGAATAAACACTTTTCACAGTCAGATATCTGCTCTGGCTTGTCAGAATGCTGTCATACTGGTAGCCTCAGCAAATGTACCAGGACTCCTTCACATGCAGGTGGCCCATCAGCTCTGCCATTAACTCTCTGCAATCTTGTCCCAGCACAGCCAGCAAAAGTAATGTGGCTTACAAGAGAGACATATTGCCAAGTGAATTTTGTGACAGATGTACCTTCATCCTATGAAAAACTGGGTGTAATACTTTAAAAACTATTTAAGTAACAGCATTTCAAACTAAGTTGCTTTATGAAAATATGAAATGGGCAGATTGATCTCAGCATAGATCTAGATTGCAGATTACAAGCAGGTTTTTATACTCTGCAAGACATAAATGTGTAGATGATACAGATTTAAAGAAAATAGGTAAGATACTGTCTAAGGGTCAGAATTCACTTAAAGCAAGGTTGCTATCTAACATCTTAGAATATTCAAAATGACTAGTATAAATAAATTAATTTGTATGCTTTATGATCTAACATAGTCTAATAGTAGAAATATGCGTTAAGAGAAGCAAGACAAATGACAGAGGTACACCTGAAGTTACAATAGCTGAAAACTTAAGATGTTAAGATATAATATTGCTATTAAAAGTGACTGAAATACTCAGAGTTAAATAATCTTTTTTTAAGTGTATGCAGATACTCTGTATTGATGTACAGTCACAGATACTAACTTGGGATACTGTCAGAAACGTTTGTTTCATTTTTTTAGGTTCGAAGTAATGGATGGTGAGAGGCTATGTATTATATGCTAAAGTTTGCAGGTAGCTAAGATGAGCGTCAGTTGTAGGGAGAAAAAAAACCAAACACATTCAATGCTCCTATTTATTATAAAATCCTAGGAAGAGGATACACGCAGAAGATGGTTGTTATCAGGACAAGACTCCAATTCTGACAAAATACCGAGTCCCTGCCGCATTAGCTATGCCTAGTATAAGCTCCTGCCATTAGGGAGAAAAAAGGTGAGAAGAGATTCTAAAAATCAGAATGCAAATTTACTTTAATTCAAAGTCCTGCTTTGTAAATAGTGCCAAAAGTTCTAAGTCTAAGTACTTAAGCAAACTGAAATTCCTCCCCCTTATCCCTCTCCCCACCTTGCTCACACCTAAAATTTATGTAGTCTTTGATACTTCTTTTCATGGTTTATAGTATTGAAGTATGAGCCTCTGTTAACATCTACAGTTTTCAGGTGGTCTTCCATACACTGGCTCTATCTGAAACTGCTTCCCTTTCTAAAAATATGTTGTGTACGGTACATCCAGCGCATGCTTCTGCCAGTGAGCTCAAACATGCATTCATACAGTTTTGAAGAATCCATTTCTCCAACCAAATTTGCCATAGGATTAAGATGACAATTTACTATAAAATATGTACCTTCAATATGACTATGAGATGTGCACAGATTATAACCCTGATACCTCTAACCCAGCTTCTTAGGATGTGTACTTTTTTTTTTTATAAAGTGAAATCTGTGTTAAAACAGCATACCTAATTCTCTTGTGAGGGGATAAGGGATCTTGTAGCAGTCTGCTTAAAGGTGTCTGGTGTCCTGCCATAAAAAAAATTGCTATGGGTTTTGTCATCAGGGCTAATTAGGCACTGTAAGAAAGCCGTAATTAATAGAAGTATACTTCATCCTTTTCCCTCCCCCTACTCTTACACATCCTCTTCCCTTTGTAGACCAGTGACTGACTTACTAGCATTCTCAGTCAAGTCTTCTGTAGGAGAATACATAACACTATTTGTTAATACGGACTGTACATTCTTCTTGCACCTCCTGTCTGAGAATATGTCACAGGTTATCTTAGTGATACCTACAGATTTTTAATACATATTTTGATCAGCCATCATTGCCTTTTTCTAAACAATAAAGATTAGCTTTTTTTTTTTGTATTAAACATATCTTAGTTTGTCTAGAATGGGATACAAAGCATGCAAGTTCAAAAAATGCCCATAATCATCTGCCTTTTACAACCTGGTATCTCAGATACCTCAGATACGAGGTACTAAGAATGCACTAAAATACTACTTTGTTTTGCCCTTTCAGATAGTATAGAAAAACTTGTTGTAGAGAACCTGAGGAGGAGCAAGGGAAATATGGGGGACAGTTACGAAGATGCTTTCCTTTACAGTTGTCATTGGTAATTGAGCACAACCTATCATAATCTGTGTCTCATAGGGGGGAAAAAAAGGCTACAATTATAAGTAGTAAAACCTGTGAGCTTCTCAAGTTCCTAATTAGCAAGTTGAAAGACAGCAAAAAAACTGCCTAGGATTCAATGGCTTCCTAAACTTTCAGTGAAAAGTTGGCTGGGGCTGTTACTGAAATTAGGTTCCACTTCTGTAACATAGAAGCAAGGTTCTTGTTCTAGCAATCTTTTTATAAAGAAACAACATTATGGTTTATTGCTCTGCCCTAACAGAAATTAATATTTTTGCTTACACATGTGAGTGAGTAGACAATAGAAAGATTAAGTCTTGAATGTAATATACTGGCACATTTTCTTTATACTAAAATACTGGCAATATTTATTGAGAATATCAGAATAAAATAGCACGAAACACAACTTCAGCAAAGCAGCCATTAGCACTAAGACCACACATGCTTTTTTCATATAGGCAGCCCTTCTACCCAAATTTCTAAATTTTTTTTTATAGAAGATGCTTCCCTTGCTCCCTTTTCTAATTACCTAATGCTTTCTCACTACTCTCAGATTTTTTTAAGGTATAGGTTTTTTTCTAGTTCAATATACAGTTAACTAAATAGCTGTAATTTTAAAAGCATCCCAACACAATTTATTTAGTTTGAAGTTAAAATAATATTTATACAAAACAAAAATTAAAATACATCCCTGCCAACCACTCTCAGAATTCTTTTGATCATAGGTAGGCTTACAGTCAACAAGCCTCTTCAAAATACCTTGGTTTTCCACAGTGATGTTCATTATTTTCCTGTTCTGCTTGTCTCTATTTGAGCTATAAACAAAAATGAACACGTACGAAAACACATTTTCTGGCTAATAAAATTGTATTTGTAAGGCACATACATACATATATATATCATGGTCAAACAAACTCATGTTATCTACCCCCATACACACACACACACACACACACATTCCCCCCACAACCCTTCAGTGAATCCTGTAATCAGACATTTGCTTTGGTCAACATTTCCATAACAGTATGTTAAAGGCTGTACCTTTATCGCAGCTCATTGTCATATCCTTTCCCTGCACAGCCTACAAAACTTCAGTTACTCTTTTACAGCATTCACGACTGCAGATACCACCCAATAGATAAAGTAATCTCACTTGTGAAGATCTAAAAAAGTAACTGTATGTGGAAAGAAAGTAGCAACAGAACAGCTGTTGTGAATAGGTAAGGGGAGGAAGTGATAATACACTGCAGTTCAGTAACAGAATGTGTACTACATGTGCAAGCTCTTTCAGTGCAAATATATATCTGCAAATACAGAACCAGAAATCACCTTGCTGGCTTGCCTTGGATAGCTGGTTGTGAAGTTAATCAAGTGTGGGGAAATCACGATGACAAAGCAAGTTTGGTGTTGCGGTCCATGCATTAGGGCAGTTTGGAAAAAAACTTAAGGAGAACTGAGGTTGGCAGAAAAAAACCCAGGACAATACCTAGTGAAAGATGCAGTCAAAGCCCTAGCAAGGAGCAACATTTCCATGTCTGGATGGTATAGGATGATAGCATAAATTTGCACAAAAGGACAGTGACTAGTGGAAGCTCTGGAAGAAGAAAGAATGCAACATAAAAGCATTTCAGTAGACACATTTTATACACAATGAAAAGGGTTAAAATCTCCAAAAAGTGGTTCACTGAGTGTTTGTTGCAGGGGGTGTGCATGTGTGTACGAAACAAATTTTGTATACAGAATGGACTGAAGGCAGAACTCTGTAAGGACACCATAGCAGATGGGGCTACAGGGAGCTTGAGGATGAGAATGCAGTTGAATTCTAAAAATAACAGCAGAACAGAACTCTCAAAAGGCATTTAACTACAGGAGATGAGGTAGGAAGGTACCACCATCTAGTAGGTGCTAGTTTAGCTCCCTCTGTTATAGATGGCCCCTTCTGAAGCGGAAATGTTTATCAAGCACTCCTTCTACAGGAGCCCTTCCGTTGCATAATATTATAATTATATAAGAGAAGCTTTTCAATAATATTCCAAAATGGAGTACTACCTTATTTTATGCTAAGGCAGGAATTTCAGAAAAAGTCCATGTTGAATGCCATACAGCAAAAGCACAATACTCTAAGAAGCACTATGATTTAATAGTGAAAAATCTGACAGAAAAATATCTGGAGATATCAGCTGTGCATAAGGGAAGGAGAAATTGTATTTTGTTAATGAACAAAAACGTATTTTGCTGATCAGTTTGGTTTTTGGATCTACACAACTGGTGGCAGGTCAAACAAGGCACAGACTAGTACTTGGAATCCCCCCCCCCCCCCTTTTTTTTTTTTAAGTCCACTCCATTCAGACAGAACAGCCACCTGTAGATTTAAGAAAGTGGACAGTATGCACCACATAGACTTTTATCTTGCTGTGCTGAAGATTCCATTAGCTGGACTCCCTGCTTCTCTGTGCTTTTATCCCAAAGACCTGGTGTCTGCAGGATCTTTATGACTAGCTCCTCAAAGGCATGTTGCACTCCATCCTGCGTCTTGGCACTGGTCTCTGGTGGAGGGGGAAGAAAGGGGGGGGAAAGTATTTTATCTTATTTGCAGGGAGTATTCCACTTTGTAAGAAGTTCTTTTGGGACTAGAGAGAAGATACAATTTTTTAAGTGAGTGAACCTCCTCTCTATTCTCCCTTAAAGGCACACTTAAGTTGAATATGATAAACAAAAATGCATCCCAGTCTGAAGCATTCAATTTTTCCGCCTAAAAAAATTCCACAGCTCCCCATTCTCTCTATAATGAAGAAACAGAAATTGTTCTCAGGTTGTGATAGTAAATCTACAAGATTCCACAACTAAGCTGGAAAACAAAGAATGCAGACAGAATTACATGTTTTCCCCTACGCGTTTGTTCCCGTTCCTTCTGGGAATCTTTTCAAGAAGCTTCACCTAAAAGGCACTTTTTAAAAAAAACCAAAAAAACCCAAAAAAAAACAACCACAAATTTGTTCCCCATCTTTATATCTTCACATTGTACATTTTATTGTTGGTCTAAGAATACTGTCTTTTATGTAGCTGCAACAGAAACTTGGAAACGAAAAAGAGATTACCCAAGGTCCTTGCTGGCATCAGTTAGGAGAAAAACTCCAGTCTTCTGGGCTCTGAATTAAAAAATCCTGCTAGTTTCAAGAGAATATAAAATCCATGCCTACACAGTATATGAAGTAAATCTCTTTCAGATAAAAGTACTTCCAACTGCAGTCGATGCAGAGCATCTCTGAAAAAAGCTAAAACCTACATCCCTGCATATGAACTAATGCAGCAAAAGGAGCCCATATTAATTAGGTACTAAAAAAAAAAAGTACATCAACCTATCAACGTGAAATACAATTGTACACTTCATTCACACTTAACATAAACATGAATATACAAGTTTTTGGCACAGAGTTACATACCTATAAAAAGCAGTGAGCGCTTCCTAGCAAACTGAAGTCCTTCTCTTCTCTCTACTTCACGATCAGGCTGCAGAGATGAATGAAGAACATGACTAAAATAAGCTACACTTGCCACTTTTAGGAAGTACCTGGAAAAGCACCACTGCAGAAATGAAGTTCTGCTGAAAACAAAAGTCTATAAAACCATGTAGTAATCAGCAACTGGATTTTCCCACTCTACAGGCTGTTAGGGGGTCAAATTGAACAGCAGCAACATCAAATCAGTAGGAAGTGAATGTGTTGCTATCTTCTGAATCAACTAGGAGCAAGATACATGCCAGAAGGGAGGTTTCAGTAGTCAAATAGCTGAAAAGCCATATCAAAGGATCTGAAAATTGACAGATTTGGAAGGGGGCAGAAGAGAACCTAGTTCAGGATAGCCACACTGGAAACCTCTTGTAGTAAAGCAAGAGTTGAAACATCTCACTATGCAACAGGCATCTAAGATATGTCAAAACACTCCAGAAACGTACAGCAACTAGTGCACCTCACCCCCACACAGATGCATACTCTATAGCCATCTGAAGAGCTGAATTCTCCTTCCCCACCACCTGTCCGAAACAGAGTCTGGTCAAAAAGAAAACAGCAGTTTTGCTGTTGCACTACAGTTAACTTCAACGGTATACAGCAGTTTTTAGGCAGAACCTCTCACTATCTTAAGAGAATCTCTGCCATCAATTGCATGTCTCCAGGAGAGTTTCCATTAAAATCTTTAACAAGAGCTGCTTCAAAAATGAGGTAGCAAGTGGAGCCTGCCCAACCTAGGTTCCTCAGTTACAGAGCATATCACCTCCTCACGCAACAGATGTGTTAGTTTCAGCGCTTAGCTCACATTTATACTCTATCATGACCGAGTAATCTGTGGAAGAGCATAAGAGGATGCATTTCTAAACTGACCTTATCAGTTTTATTGCCAACTAACATCTTCACAGTGTTGCTTTTGGTGGTATACATTTCCAGCTCATTCAGCCAGCTCTCTAGTCCTGCGAAAGTGTCTTTTCTTGTAACATCGTACACTGGTAACAGAGGAAAAGGAGCTTAACAGCTGTAGAGTCTTGAACAATGTTTATTTCATTATGGCAGAACTACTAGCTAACTACTGCCCTGAAAAAAAAGCAGTATTAGGGAATTACAGAAAGATGCATCAACCATATCCTCTTCCCAGAGCTGGAACACATTGGCTGTGCTCACCCAAAGTCACTAGGGATAACAGAACACAAGCACCTCTGCAACAGATCTGTGACTGGAAATCAGACTTACCAGTTGAAATCTTATACCGGTTACTAGTTCTGAATTGGGCCACACAGAATATTTTAAAATAGGTATTTTGTCACCTCATTTAATGTATAAATACATGCATGCACTGCTGCTAAAAACACGGATTCTGAGTAAAAAGTGACTTTTGGTCACTGGTAACTCATAACTGCATTCACTTAATCACTAAGGTTTAAAAAGCTGCATCATAGTCAGAAATAGTATTTTGTCAGCAAGGTGTTCAGCCTTCACAATCCCCGAGAATAAGAATCCCTTCTTTTTCTAATTGGTGTTGTCACACAGAAAGGGACTAGCCATCCATTACTTGTGCTAGAAACCTCATGTCTTACAGTAATCACATCAACAGTTTCAGGGGTGGGGGGGGAGAGGAAGTAAAAACATCATGGGGGGAAAAAAACCAACAGAAAACCTAATTTGCCTTATTACCAGAAACTCACCAAAGTAATTGCTACAAAGCTACTAATTCATCCACTGAACGGCCTGTAGTGTGACATCACTGTATTTTCAATTTAAAATATTTTGAAGAAACACTATTTCCTGCCAGTGGTTTTGCATACTCGGTGTTTGAGCTAACGATGCAGTAACATTGTAAAAACTGTAGTTGTTCCTCTGATTCTCTCAGACAACCTTATTTTGTAAAGACATGCACATTTAGGTAGTAATAAAGACCACACTTTTTGTAATCATGTTTTTCTTCCATATACCTCATACCTAAAACAACCCCTTGAGCTCCTCGGTAATAACTGGGAGTCAGCGTTCTAAAGCGCTCCTGTCCTGCTGTGTCCTACAGAGGAAAGAAAAAAAAACCAAGCAAACAAACAAACCCCCCACAAAACACATACACACACAAAATAAAATATATTTAGAACAAAAAAGGTATTTTAAACTACACAAGATAAACAAAGTTAAATTTTTCCTGACCAGTAAGGATACGTTAAACCATAAGACAACAGAATGAGAGAAGCAGTCAGAAGACATTAGCAGCAGCAACAGAAAATGGATAAGGAGGGCCAGAAAAGCATGGAGAGGACTTGATGGAAGGTTAAAGTGCTAAGCACAGACACCTGTAACATGACTGAGACAACAAGGAAGTCAATGAGACTCAAGAGAAATACATAAAAGGCTATTGCTGCAAGCCAAGCAGCTAGGCTTAATCAGTTAACAATCAGCTGAACTGAATGAGGTGAGGAATAAATTGTTTTACAGTGAGAGACACTGCAGGAAAGGAGACATAGTGGTTCCAAAAAATCTCCCTTTGCTCCTCCACAGCAGGAAAGGAGAATCCAGTTAGAAAGAACTACTTCAAGTTTGCTAAGACTCTAAGCAGATAAGAAATTTAAAATCAGCAGTTTCATTCAATTATTACTGCAGTATGTCACGCTTATTCTCACAAATCTTCAAAATAGCTCCTAGGTGCAACATGAAATTCAAAAACCCTCAGAACAAACAATAAGGAGGCAAAAGAATTACACAAATATGATTTTTACCAAAAACATTTATTTAAGTTTATGTACAGATTACAATAGACAGACTAACAGCTATGTTGTAATTTTTTTTTTATTTGTTAAAAAAAGAAACTAAAATTGGCAATATGTTTACTTAATTTGGGTCATTGTTACTAAGGAGATTGTACTCTTAGGCATTCATGGACACTAAAGCAGAAGCCTCTTTGACCTTGATGCACCGTACATGCATTAAAGTTTTTATTTAACATTGTACAACTGCACTGTTTTTTTCCCCCCTAATTAGCAGTTTCTCCTGATGCTGTTACAGACTGCTGCAAAAGTGCCTTTTCCAGCTATACAACTTGTGCAAGTTCTGGTCTTGCTTTTCATTTCACAGTAAGGAGACACACCCCGTGTGATTATTTGGGCAAACGTATCTTGGTTACTCTCAGCAAAGCTTCTGCTTTGTGTGCAGCATGTTCAGAATACAACTAATATATACACTCACTGGCTAGAGCAAGTGTGACTTTATCACTCTTGCTCTGCATTCTGTACACAAAGTGTGAATGAAAACAAGAAATCAATTCAAGTTTCGGCACTTATATTACTTTTATTAATACCAGCCCAAGGCACATTTGTGCTCCCTTTCCAATAGTCCCAATTACTTAATTCGTAATAGTATAAATAATAATAAAATACACACAAAATTTCTTCCTTCTAGGGCTCTTTCATTCCGTTTAGGAGAATAAATGTGGTGCTTCAATATTATAAATATTCCTGATCACAGAGCTGCAATCTGATTTCCCAGTTTGCAGGTCCTGGAAATACAGCATCAGGAACTTCAGGAGAAATGCTCAAGCCTCCCAGTAAATCTGAACCAACCTTTAAGTAGTCTAGGACCGAGTATTTTTTTTTCCGTGATTTTAACCAAAATAAAGCATCTGGACTGTTTCTGGTATAGTATACACACAGAGTTGCTGCACAGCCCCTACAGGAAATCATGCAACTCATCACCCAGAACATCACTTTTCTGCAGTTTCCTTGACCTAAGTGCTGTCTGTCCTGGGAGTGCGCTCCCAGGTCAGACAGGCACAAAACACCTGCCCTTCTTGCAAGGCCACATCTTCGCAAGTCTAACACTTCACAAAGGGTTTGAGAAACCCAGTTGTGTAAGTGCAGGAAAGAGCAGTCAAAATCTCTACTAGAACTAATGGAAGTCCCAAACCTAGAGCAATGAAGTGTTCTGAAAGAACCTGGTCTGCAACTTTTGTTGTACGATCATGACAGACACTCATCCTATGTGCATTTGCATCCTAAGTACACAATCTCAACATGCAGACGACTTTAGCAGGGGGAGGGAGTAAAGGAAGAGGGAAAAAAAACACAAAAAGAAGCTCTGTAAGTTTTCACATCTGTCAAGAACAAAACCTATCCGTATCTGTCTGGAACAAAACCTACCCATATTGCAAGCTGTAGCGCATGGCCGTCTACCACCATTTTCTTCACTTTAAAGTCAACACCTAAGACGTAAGAAGAAGGGAAGGCTTGTCTGAACTGGCGAACGCCCGCCCTCGCAGCCGGCTCCCCCGCCGCTGCCTCTCGTCAATGGGACCCAAACGAAAGCAAGCGAAAACGTCCCCAGCTCGGGGACGGGCGGATTCCGGACTCACCAATGGTGGGTTTCAGGCACGGCTCAAACGCACCGTCAGTGAACCTCAGCAAGAGGCTGCGGGGAAAGAAACCGAGAACTCAGTCCGGTGTCGAGAGCGCCCGGCCCGCCCGGCCCGCCCGGCCCGCACCTGGACTTCCCCACGGCGCTGTCTCCGACCAGAAGCAGCTTCAGGGTGAGGCCTGCAGCGTCCATCCCCCGCCCTGCACGGGTCCGGAACC